GTGCGGGAATGACTTAGTAAAATCTAATATGATAAAAGTAATCTTAAAATATACGTGACAGATTCATGGACTGTAAAAATATCTTAATCTAGTTTGGTGCCAGGACTCCACATATATTGCAAAAACTTGTCCGAAAAGCATAAGGAGATTTCAGTGAAAATTAGCCAAACTCAATACTGCATAAATTTTCTTGTTTTCTTGCGCTTAGAAATACTCAATCAACTAACTGGTATATAAGATAAATTTGAAGACTCTTTATAAGAAAACCTTATTTGCGTTCGACACAAAGACAGAACGTAGTGTAACATTACAATCCACAATGCAGTTTTATACTTTGATTTTAAAAATGGGGATGCTTATCCTCATATACATGTATTTTGCAAAATGCTTATCAAAGTCATACTTCATCAGTAGTGCTGGATTATAAAATTTGCCTTTTATAAATATAATTCAAATTCAAAAAATAAATAAATAAATAAAAAATATATCACTCACAGACTCACAAACTTTTTTTTCTGTTTTTTTTTTTTTTTTTTTTTTTTTTTTTTTTTTTTTTTTTCAATGGATTAACTAGTTTCCCTTTACATCCTCGCAATCAAGTGATATTTAGTAAAAATAGAGTGAGAAGGTTTTCAAATTTTATCTATATTTGTACTTATTTTTTTTTTCATATATTAAAATTCAAATTTTACTCTGAAGTTTTCTCTCTGTTATTGTTACATTTAAACAGCTATTACCACAGGAATAAAAAACTATTAAAAAAGACGAATAAAGGTAACTATTTGAAAAAAAATGATGTACGTCCACATAATCTAATTAAAATGAAAAATTACCAGTGAACATTTTTGATGAAATAAATGATATTTAATTCGTCAGCACTAAAATACATAAACGTTTTTGACATTTTATATCTTTTTGGAGAGAGAGAGAGAGAGAGAGAGAGAGAGAGAGAGAGAGAGAGAGAGAGAGAGAGAGAGAGAGAACCAACTTAGTCAAAATCAAATTATGAAAAAGATGTCATTTAAAATATTATTCACTTTTGAATTTCAATTCCTAGTACCTCGTGGTAATTTATAAATGTTATTTGGAAATTAAAGTCCCGTCTTTAATATATTTTTAAGATTTTCTTTAATATATTCTTTTTTCTGCATAATATTTCGAAACTAAATAGGTAAAGAATTGCGATTTATATACCAACAAAGAAACATAAATAAAAAGTTATTTATTTACTAGTATTTTTCACTACAGATAAAGCCAAAAGAGTTAAAGATTTAATGATTTACGGTATATTTCAAATATCATTTTTATGATGAATGTTATTTTCCTTTGAACTTTGTAAACAGTGCTTTATTTATTCAAAAATACATTTTACTACAAAGAAAACAAAATTGTATTACCAGAACCGAAGTTCCATGAATACTGCTGACGAAATAAACAACTAAAATTGCTGTACCATAGATACAGCATTCACTTCCTGGGAAATCCCCGCTTACCAATCAAAATAACCGCTGCTGATGGGTTTTGTTTCTTTTTTTTTCATCTGTTTCTTTTTTTTTCAATTTAAGATATTTTAATATTCATATGTTTATTATCTAAATAATGTGTGTAATTTCTTTGTCTAATAAATATTCGAAGCGACAGGGAATGTGAGTACATCTATACCTTTATGTCTTTTTAATGTTCAGCGTCGGAAAGAGACTTGAGAAGTGCAGTTTTGGAGTGTGAATTACTTTTGTCAGTGTTATCTCACTTATAAAGATAACTATCATGTTATATAATATGGTTATATATATATATATATATATAGAGAGAGAGAGAGAGAGAGAGAGAGAGAGAGATACATACCCTTTTCCATCTCATATCCTCTATCTGTCCGACACACCACTATCAGCCAGAGGGCTGAAGGCTGATATTAGCCCAGGGCTGATACAGGTTGTGATATGGAAAAGGGTATGTTTTATCATGTTTATTATATACTCAATTAAAACATACAGATGCCATTTACTTGGAAAATACAAATAAATAATCACTTACTTATTATATCAGTATAACAGTAATTTATAATTGGGTACCAAATATTTAACAAGTCAAACATTTGTCTCGGGTAAAATACCATGATAATCTCGAAGGGTTTTATTTTTCAAATACTATGTCATAAAATATGACATTTTACCCTATAAAACTACATGTATTTGCGAAGTTTAATGTACATGTATGTCTTTAATTGCTAATGTCAGGCCTGTAAGAGCCGGTGCTGGGCAAATCTCCTTAACCCCTCTCCCCATATTTAAAATTTGTCAGCATACACTTAATATTACAATATTTACTCTTGTGCCTCCTCATTTTATAACATCGGTTGACCCATAATTTATATATATTGCTTTATTTTTGCCTGTTAAGCGATTTCTGCAAGGTTAAGGTTGAACCCTCAATTGAAATTGCTTCCCATGGGCCTGAATTTTACCAGGAACAAATATTTTTACATAGAGTAAACCACCATGTGATGTATGACAAAGTATTGGGTAATAAAAATGCTTTATGATTTCATAACACATTTTACCCGTGTCAAAATTATTTGGTTTTTTTTCCATTGTGTTTCTAAATTTATTTTCACCAACTAGCGTTAAGGGTTACCCAGGATCCTATCGTATGTGAACACCCTCTACCCTTCCCCTGAACAAGTATATTTTGCTACTCCTTCCTTCTCCTTCCCTGTAAAAAAAATCCTGGATTCACGTTTAAAGAATAAGCAATACCATCTGTAGGCAGTGGCAGTGAGTAGTTGGCAGGGGCAGTAAGCAGTTGACTGTCGTATATGGAATTCCAGAAAAATAATTTTAAATCGTTGTTTTTCTTCCATAATTGCGTTTAAGAGCTTACAATGTATTACTTTCTCCAGTATAATACAGTGTAGTTTTTTTCTTCTTAATCTTTCTTCCTTGTCATAATCATCGTTAGCTCTTTTTCTGCTTCTCTTAACCGGGTTTATGTAAACCTCCTTTATATCCCTTCTCTCTGAAATATTCCTGGATCCGCACTTGGGATCTTATACAGCTAAAGGAGCAGCATCCCTCTACTTCTAACCTTATATAAAAAGTGCAACTCCATGCACGTCCACCGTGATACACTCGTGACTGATCTACTAATTACATCAGCTGACAATTTATTGAATTGACTTATTAAACTTATTGAATTGACCTGAAGGTTTTCACGATGAGCGATCATTGCTTTATTTCATCAATTTTAAATAAGTTAGCTACTTTATGCCATCGAATACTAGTATTAGGAAAATGACCCTTCGAACAGAATCTCCTTTTAATCCTGTGACCATTAAAAGATTGGTAAAGATTGATATACATTTAAGATGGAGGCCAAGATGAAAAAAAAGATGGGGAGGATAAGGGAAAAGAATAAAATGGAATTATGAAGTAACATACTCCTCTCTTGTATGCTAATATGCTGAAACGATTAAACAAATATAGAATTTGATAACAGAAATGCAAGAATAACTTAATAGGATCGTTTATTAAAATTTTCATATTACTAGCATTACAATAAAATTTAAAATTAATAAAATTAATAATAATTTTTCTTTTTAATGATCTTCATATATATATATATAGAGAGAGAGAGAGGGAGAGAGAGAGAGAGAGAGAGAGGAATCATGTCTTTTTTTTTAAATTAATTAATTTGTTTAACTATTGACCATAGCTTCATTAATTTTCCGAGAAACCTACAAATATTAAGAAATGGAAGTCAAGTAACATTTAATTTTTTTAAAAGTCAACTATTAAGCAAACTTTGATAAATTGAAATGCTTACTTTTCAGGATCTTTTTCCACTGCTTACTTGGTAATGATTGGTGATCCACTAGAAATACTGATCTCGTGTGAACAGTCCCCAAAGAAAATAAAACCAATAGCGGCAATATGAAGGTAAACGCTGACATAAACAGAAGATATGTCCATTAAGATTATGCTGAGTATAATATTGAAATGCCTTTAAAAGCCTTTCTCATACATGCCTTTGGTTCAACCAATAAAAGACAATCAACATCATACCCAAGGGTTCTCACTCCTCATCGTGTTATTGGTGTGAAAATAATAATGATAAACAATGAATATTGAAACGATACATTTTACACATACCCATGCATGTATTGGTTCACTTCCATGCAAATTTAATCTTGTAGTTTTCATATCAATTTGTAATTGTTATCAAAAAGAGTTAAAAAAATTTTTTAAAAATAAAATCATACACTAGTACGCTATTCTTTGATTTGGACTAAATGCGAAGAAGTATGTCAATTTGCAAACTTAGTGATACAAGCACAATTTTAAATGGTACTACATACATGTAACAACAAAACTTTATGATAAACGTGATGACTTCAAAATTTTCTATCGTGAACTTCAATTACTTATGTAGCAATATTCCCTTATCACCTGCATATGGGATATATATCTCCCAGTTGATTCGGTACACAAGAGCATGTCCCACGTACGAACAATTTCTAAAACGAGGCAAGCTATTGACAAACAAGTTGATGAAACAAGGATATCAACAGTTTCGTTTTAAAATCATCATTTCGGAAAATCTATGGTCGATACAATGACCTTGTCAGCAAAAATGATCTATCATTAAGTCCAATGCTGACTGACGTTTTTCATACTAACTGTTAAGCCATTATTTAAACACTGAATTGTCTATGGATTTTCCCGTTTGTCCGATCATGACAATAAGCACACGGCGAGTGTGACAGGTCGACAGGGGATGCTTACTCCTCCATGGCACCTGATCCCACCTCTGATGCTTTTAGAGGTCCGCGTTTGCTCTGTTCCGATTTATATTGTTTCAATGGACTTTTGAGCTTGATTATTGTTCGTTATATCCATATTTCATGTACATTTAAGTTTGCGAGGAATGCCCACATGAGAAGCTCTGTGAAAAAAGTTGAAAACAGAACACCTTAGAATTTATTTTCATTTTTCTTACCGCTAAAAAAGAAGGAATATAAAAGTTATTTCTTGAAACACGTATCATTTTACCAAAAGATTCACAAAAGATGAAAAAAATAATAAAAACTTGCATATTAAGCTCGCGGTCTCTTCTGAACATTATTTACCAGCATTAATACTAGTACTGGTTCATTGTAATTACTCTGTAATTCTCGATTTACATGATGAAGCATATGCTAAAAATTATGTTAAAGAATTAAGAATAAAGGAAATAAAACCTTAATCTATTTCCAAAAATGAATTAAAGTTAAGTGCACATTTGATCGCTGATGAAAAAAAGAGAGGTTGGTCATCCTGAGGGCTGCAAAGAAGAAATTCTTAGTTCGAATATTTTACTTTCAATTTCTTCACCCTCGGCCTCTTGTTCTGTTAAGTCCCTGTGAATGAACAGTTTCCTTTCTGTTAAATTGGTTCTCAACTTTCCTGGTGGTTTTTGATTTGTTGTTTTCTCTCTCTGACTGTTTCGTAGTCTGATACTTTGTACTTTAAGTCCATCAGTCAGCCAAGAAGCTATTTTTTGTTTCACTGTGGGGTGTTTACTTATAAGATACTCGTGAAAACCACTTATTTTCCCTGTACTTCCGTCTGAGAGCAGTGTTCCGTTTTGTATCACATGGCGTATCTGTGGTCTATGAAAATTTTCATAAGTTTGTGTTGTTGTGCTAGAATAAATGATGACAACTTCACTTTATTATTATTACAAAATAATACAAGTATTAACTAACATTTTCGGATCAGAGATAGAACTTTATTTGAAAAAAAAGGTGTTTCGCTTAAATATGCCTGATGTCTACACATATGGAAAGTTAAAAACCACAAAAATGATTCTTGAAAACATTGCTAATGCATATTATATATATTGTTTATAAACGATATGATTTTAAATTAATATTTTTTTTTATTTATTACCTTTGTAACGGTGCATTTCTTTTTCGGTGAGACTTGTGTGCGTGATGCACATTCGGCAAGTTTGTGATGTGAATACTTTGGTCAAGGGGAGTCTCATTTTGGTAAGGGGGAGCAAAGTAACTGTCCACACTTCTTGGACGTTTGAATGTGTTGAGAAGGCGCAGTCGGTTAGACGCTGACGTCGGCATCCGATTTCGGTAACATTCCGTTTCGATCACTGCCGCCTGTATGCGCTGATTAATAGAGAAAGCCGGTTGTAATGTCGTTACTTCCGGTGAATTTTCGATTGTGTTGTCACGATCTGTGAGTGCCCTTGCATACAGATCTGGTTCACTGACAGCTGGACCCGGTGCCATGAATGGATCCTCGTTTTCATCTAAAGAAAAGTCTACTTCATTACAAAATAATAAGTGTCATGATATAACATTTCCTTTAAGGTAAATACTCTAATTTGAGTCGTTTTGATATCAAGAAATTGGTCATTGATAGACATAATACGTTTATGTTTGGCAATTTTCTGAACCTTTTCATTCCAAACGTTAACGGTAATACATGTACATGTCATTTTTGCAAAACATTTTGTTCACTTTAAATACTTGAAAACAGTTTTGCGAAGTAGAAAGTGTTACACTGTCATTTATCAAATTGAACTTCTTTCCATAATTTGTTGAAATGATACATGGTTAAAATGAAATTTTCTGACCAAAAGGTAAATATTTTAATGAAATACCAGGGTAAATCTTTCTGGTTTCTTCACTCAGATCTTTAATAGCAGGGCGATACAGTTCTCTTGCAGACTTTGTCTTTCGTGTAAGCATGCGCGGTGATCTTGGTGACCTTCTCTCTTCCGTAGTTTTCTCCCAATGCATGATGATGAAGTGCTTTTTTAAAGAAAGCCTGAAGAGAGAATATTGCAGCAGATTGCAAAACTGACATATCTTTTATGGATTATCCTACATATTAATGATTGGATTGTTTAAAGCATTACTATCAATGAAATATTAATATGGTACCATATGACCCTGGCTCAGATACTGAGAATGATGTGTCTTAAAAATAACGGAATATCTTAGAGACTCATGTTTAAAGTATAATTTTATTTGGATGAACCAAATTCATTAACAAACCATTCAAGAATACATTTTATTTTACTGTGGAGGAAACAGAAAATTTTTGTCTTTTTCTGGGAGAACAAATTGATAAGGGAAAAAGTGCGAAAGGAGAATATACTAGAATCATCTAAGTAGATCCAATTTAAATTGATTTTCAAATGCTAAAAATAATCATTTGGTCTTAACGACCCCTTTTAACATATACATGTATGTATATTACCTAGAATGTGTAGCAAAATTAAATTTCTTGTCAATACTAAAGTATTGATAATTTATAACTATATATCACTCCAATGGTATTTAATGTGAAGTGGCTTATATCTGAATTGCCTTTATATACTGTATACAATAAAGTCCTCTATTCTAAATATTTTCTTTGGCATTTTCTTCCAATTTTGCATGCCTTAAGAATTGCAATTATGACGACTTTTAACTATTGACTGTGATAAAGATCCTACCAAAATGACGTTTGTGTTTTTCTTATTTAAAAAAAGGTTGTTCAAGACTTTTAAAATTGATTTTACCTATGCCGAAATGGAACACCGTCTGTTAAACAAAAAGTCAGAATTACTGTCAGGAAATTATTTAATTTAGTTTGACAATGAGAAGTAATTTAAATGGCACTTACTATTGTATGTGTATATTTTTTAAGTGATTAAAAAGTTGAACATTCTTTGTTTTGAAAGGTATAATTCCTTTTTTGTTTTTACTTTTGAAAATAATCAAAACGCCTAAAAGTGGCACACAGAGAGAGAGAGAGAGAGAGAGAGAGAGAGAGAGAGAAGAGTTCCTAAACTGTCCTAAATCATATCTCAGAAAGAATGACAAATCCAAAGTAAAACTTTTCAGATGAGATGCAAAAAATAACTTACCTCTGTCTGTGTAAATGATTTACATTTTAAAACCTCAGTAACATAAATGAACAAAATAATCCGTCAAGAAAACTGACACCATTCCATAAGATAACGGAGACTTTGGGGAACAGAGCCGCCTTCCTTTTACGTTAAGACTGTTTATCTACCTTCTTTTGAGTTGTAATCTAAGTCAATTTTCACCCCAATACACAGACGGTCTACCCGAGGCTTTTACCAAACCTTTATAATCCGATTCCTGGGTTCCTGCGCCCGTCTTCACAAAACGTTACCCAAATACTATTGACAAATCGATACTTATAAATTACTTTTAAATTACGAGCCAGTGAAATTTTAAACTTTGCAATTAGTTCTTTAGAATTCCAAGAAACTGATTTATATACAGATTGCCATACCTCTACTCGCGTGGAAATGGCGACAAATCGGCGGTTAGATTTTCTTCAGTTAGATTTTAGTTTTATAAAAAGACTTAACAGAAAAATCATTGTTCATTAAAAAAAGTATTTACTGACTATTTGGACGACCTTCTGGCATTCAATCAACACCAAGACTTGAGAATATTCTTAGGGCATGCTATAATACAATTATGAATGATAGCTTATTTAAAAACCAAATTAACTTTTAATGTGTTTAAGACCGGAAGACGATTAAGAAATTGATTTAAATTTAAAGTACGAATTTTAAAATCATGAACTATAATTTCTTTCAGCATTATGCTTAACGTCGATCAATGTTTGGGTTTTAGGTGTAGTTCAAGGGTGTATTTAAAAAAAAAAACTGATCTATTCTAATTGGGACATGCTTTCAGGACTTCTGAAGCAAGGCGTTTTATGTTTCTCTTTTTTATTGTTTCTTGTGATTGAGTAATGAAATCTGGGATTCGATCTACTAGAAAAAGACCATGTTTATCAATATTTTACCACCCTGCATTAAATACAAAACTTTACCTTTATATACTGTTTCAAGGATTGAAGATAGCTAAGTTTATATTACCAAACCCGACTAGTAATCAAGAAATCCGAAACTAGAAAGACCTTAAGTATCGGTCAAACACAGTACAAGAAACAACATTCTTCAATTATCAAATTCACGAATGGTTTGTCCTAACGAACGTCTTGTGGATCATTTGAGAAGGAATCATCGAGGTTACGTGAAGTTATCCATGTCAGACTGTTTGATTTTGGATCAACATTGTTAATAGATCAGAGGTGAAGATGAATTATGGCGCAAAAAGAACTATTACTCTATAACAAACAGGATTGATAACACTTGAAATGCCTATACAATGAAACAAAATCTGATAAGTAAATATTCTCTCAGTTTTTAAAGATATTAGTATTAACTTTGGTCGTCTTCAGATAATATGCACATGTAAAATGAAATCCATATATCTTTGATAGACACAAATACCTGAAATTAGGCGTTCGAATATTGTTCAAAGAAGTTTGAATTGAAAAATAAACAGTTCAGTTGAGTGTAATTTTAACAAAGCACACTTGTGCAAGTGGAAATCGAAGTAAACTTTTTAAGAAATTTGTCTGTGCTTGGCAAACAGAAAAACTAATGTAAATACATGTATATTGATCTCGCACGTGTCAACAGAACGATTCGGAAGTGCCCTGGATAAAATACAGGCTGTTTCTAATGCTAAGTAAACAGAAGGCATAGTCTATGCAGAAGTAAAATTACAGAAACACAAATACTCATTTAGCATGCTTTGTAAAATGAATAAACATTTATTGTCAAACATGATGGCAATCTGAATTTCAATTGTTTCAGTTTTAAAACTTAGAGAATGTAAAAGAATTCTCTTTGAAAACCAATATAACATGCCAAACATGTTTTTAAAATTGTTGGGATTGGAAAAGAATACCATGTTACAAATGAATGTATCTTAATTCTGAGGAAGTTTTTGCGTTTTTATATGTGTATGAAGCACAAACAAAGGTTTTGCATATGCATTAAACAATATGTTATAAACATACATATATTACATACAATATTAAATCGCAGAAAATGTAAACACATAAATGTTTTGAACTATGTGTTCACGGAACACATGTATAAATTATTAAATAAAAGAGGCTTACTGTCGTTATAAGAATTTATTGTGTTAGCTTTCATATAATAATTGTAACTAGATTTGAATCTTTTTTTCAAAATGATGGATGACAAGAAACATGAATACACGTATATTTTATCTATAAAATTTCCAGCACTTACCACGATCATTCGGTCTCCATCACCGACAATAGCTGCTATAAATGCCCTCTATATGTTTGCTGAAATCCTTCTTAAGTTGATTGGGCAAAAGTGAAAAACTATAAAAACTTATCAACCGCGTGGTGAATTTCTATTGAATTCAACTTGTTTGATTTAAACCACACAAGAAATTGATACGAGCGTTTTGTGTACATAAATACTTTTTTCCCTCTTTACTCTTTTACCCAGATTTGACAGGCAATTGAGAGTCGATTTATTATCCACCATTGGCTAACGGCAGGTCGAGATAGGTTTGAAGGGTGTTAAAATCTCCTTTAATTATAAATTGATCTTTCTTACGTAACAAATTAAACAATGATTACAAGACTGTGAGTTTACTTTTTGTCTGGAAATCTATCAGTGATCGAAGGTTTTCAAATGCAATGAAAATGAGTAAAAAAAAATTCCAATCAGTGATGACTATAAATTAACGTATATAGATAATATAAGAAGCCTTGCATGTATTGTGTAAGTCAGTTAAACTAGAGGTATTGTGAGCAATGAGCTCACAAAATGACACCCTCGCTCCAATATGAGTATAATGGCAAAGTCCATATTTTTTGCCATGGGAAACCCCAAACAGATTCTATTAAAGCCTCATAGAATTTTATTCATTGGTATAGGAAGAGTTGCGGAAAAGAGATGGATACTCTAATATTATAGAAAGAATGGAAGTGCCCATGTTTGCCTATATATGGAAACCCCAAATATCTCTCCAATGAAAACGTAAATTAAGAGGTGCACAATGGCACCGTGTAACAAAGATTCTGTGAGAGTCTCATTTATAATTTTATTCAGTGGTAGAGGAGGAGTTGCAGATAAGAGATGGGTACCCCAAAGTGTTATGGGGGGGGGGGGGACGGACGGCTACTCCTCTCTGTCTCATAGGTAGTATTAATAACTTAGCACTGCATCTATAATAGATGGACAAGACCTGGACTGGGGGGCTTAACTCTATAGAGATGCTATGGATTACAGCGGCCAATGTACCCATAAAGAGGCATTAAAGTTACCCAGAACAGCATAGTAAATAACTGACTATGGGCCCAGAATCACAGCATCACTCAGAAGAATGGCAGGGGAGCCATTATATAGTCTCAATTAATGCTTGCATCAACCATTGATAGTGAAACTCGACAAAGATCAGGTCATAGTCTTGAGAGAAACGTCATAATACTGAAGGGAGAACATAAAGTTTATTAATCCGTAGCTGCCAATATTAATTTCAATCAAGAAGAATAATTTATGTATGAGTTTATTTTTATGACTACGACATAAAATGGAGCTTTCTGTACGTCATTCTTTCAATCCGTCATTGTTGATTTTCAGGCCTTTTTTAAACCTGTGATTGTAGAAAATGAGCTGATTTTTTGGTATGTCTCTTTCTATTGATAACACAAAAGTTACTGTCCTGAGACTGAAAATTTCCGAAAGGAGGGGGTAAATATTAACAGTGATGGAGTGTCTGTCCTTCCGTCTGTGCATCGTGCTGTACGTCCGTGACACTCCTCCTATTTCCACTGAATAAAATTTAATGAGGCTTTCATAGAATCTTTATTACAGATTGTCATTGTGCACCTCCTATTTTTCGTTTCGATAAAAAATTTGGGGTTTCCCACAGCAAAACCTGGTCACTGCC